TCTTAGGAACACCAAGACAGCACTTCAGCGTTTGGCGGTCATTTTGAACAGCAAAATCACCAACAAAAAGCACCAAAATGCAAAAAAAAAAAAGTGTCAGTAAACAGACCACAAAAAGGGCACTTGTTTACAGTGTTCTTTTCGGAACAAGAAGATTGAGTGTTACCTTGTTTGACCTCAGCTGAGAACCTTCATATTAGGTGACTCAAATTTTTCACTGCTCTACACATGTCCATAAATGACTATGAAAACATTGCAGGCACTGATTTTGGATTATAAGTAAATTTTAATGAGTAGATGAATTCACAAATACGGAATCCATGAATACTGGGGATCTGTACTTCAAGGCTTATGTGACACCGGTACCTAAGAGAGTCTAGGTATCCACATGGGTCCCTTAAGTACTTGGGGTTTCTTTCATGTCTTTTATATTATTTAACAAGTGATTTGCAAAGGGGTATATGGAGTTTGAAAATAACAATGTTTATCCCAATTACCTATTTTGTGTTAATAAAGGAGAATATGAGAATTTTAGGCTCATGAAGGAAGCTATAACTTTAAAAATATTTGAAAAACAAACAGGTTTGTTTTGTCTTTACAATGAGAAGCTTTTTTTCTCGTGCTAGGTTGGCTGTAGTTCTTGACTCTGAAGATGACATGAATTTTAATTCAGCCTGGCCTGGCTCTACAGTAAAAATTTCGTATTAGCCTGGCTCAAGACTTAAGGGACAAACGGGTGGCGCAGGCACACGTGTGCACACATGCACCTCATTCACACAAGGTGTAAGAGGAAGAGTGGTTTTAAACTAAGATGAGAATGAGAATGACAAAAGGTAATTGTCATTCCTTCTCCCATTTATTCTTTTAAGGCAGTAATGTATGATGGTAGTGAAAACAGCAAAAATACAGAAGGCTTAGGCCAGGGTTTAGAAATTTAAATGCAGTGGACATGAAGGAAACAAAGGAGGGAATCACACCAAGAATAAGGACAGCGACTATGGAGAAGGTGGGGCGAATGAGTGTCCCTTTACAGGGGGAAGCAGCCTTGTGGGAATGGAGGCCTACAATTGCCACTACTAAAGGGGAAGACAAAAAATTTTAGATTTTTATGTGAACACCGGTTTTTTTTTTAAAGATTTTATTGGGAATTGAGGGAGGGGAACAGACAAGTTGCTGTCCTTTTGTTCTTCAGTCTAGTTGTGGAGGACATCGCTTCACTGGCCCATGTTGGTATTNTTAACATTTAGCAAAAATAGCATTTAATAGGAACCACCCAGACCTTGAGACCCTTGTCCTAACAAAAGTGCTTTCTTTTCCTAAAAGAAAATAGATTTAACCACACATTCATTTAGTTTAAACTTCATCCCACAAAGATGGACAAGTGTTAGTCCCATTTTACAAATTAAGAAATTGAGATGTAGGGCCAGTCGAGTGGCTCAGTTGGTTAAAAGCTGGCTTAAGAACGTGGGCTCTGAGCAATGGGGCCACTGGTTCGATTCCCACATGGGCAAGTAACACAAGCTGAGCTGTCGCTGAGCTGCCAACAGGTGGCAGGATGGCTCAGTTGGTGTAATAAGATTGCCTGTTCAATGGTGGGCCATGCCCACCTGCAACTGTGACTGAACTTGGCACCTTGAGCTGAGCTGCCGCCTGGATGGCTCAGTGGATAGAATGTGCACTCTTAACAACAAGGCTGCTGGTTCGACTCCCACATGGAATGGTGGCTACGCTCACCCACAACTAAGACTGAACTGGGCACCTTGAGTTTAGAGGCCACAAGCTGCAGACGCGAAGCCGGAGACTGGTGCCCTCCACAACGAAGATTGAAGAACAACAACTTGGCTGGTCCCCTTCCCCAATTCCCTAAAAAAATCTTAAAAAAAAAAATAAATTGAGATGTAAACAGTTTAAGAGATTTAAGTTTAAAGTAATTCCCAATCTAGATGCCCTAATCTAGTTTGCTAGATTAGGAGGGCACACACTCCTTGAGGTAGTTAACCCAACAACCAGCCAGGAACATTCTACACAGACTCCAGCCTCTAATATCTAGTCATAAATGATCCTTTTCAGGTAATCTAGGGATAGGGAATAAAGTGAAAATTCCGTTCATATTTTCCCTGCCATTACTATTGCCTGAAACAACCTCCCCCCTTCACCCCCAGCCCCACCCCCCCTAACATTTTACTTTTCTCTTAGATTGAGGTGCCAATAGCCACTCCACGGAGTTCATCCAACTGATTAAGATCAGCCAGTTATATGTAAAACGTCATTATACCGGCCATTATGAAAAACAAAACAAAAAAAATCCCCACTATTTATGCTCGATTGTTCCTTTTTAAAAAAAAACTAATCTCGACACATTAAAGCGAAGTCGACTGTGAGCCTTTATTTCCTACTCAAAGGTAAATTCAGTTCTTCAGGTTAAGATGAAGAACAGCAGCGTTACACTGAATAAAACCCACCCTCTTCTCAATGAGAAAATAAAGAGAATGCGTTGTAAGGCGAAGGGAACCGGGCAGGACGCCAGCGTCTGCCCAACAGCCGAGTCAAGATTCTGATTTAGTCAGTGCTGCCGTGGAATCTAGTTTTGTCAAATTCTCTAACAAATGTGACGATCCGAGTGGAGAATCACTGTTGTGTGTCCTGGTCGGAAAATTTTTCTGCGAACTCCATTTTTTTTAACGTAGTTGAGTGCACCGCGCCTAGTCCATAGTGGATGGAAAAGGGAACTCGGCAGCACAAATCCAGTTTTCGCCTTCCTTTCAAGTACTTCGGCAGACCCCAAGGCTTCCTCTAAGGGATGTGGGGCAAAGGCAGCCACTGATCTCACCGCCGGAAATAGAACTTTTGGAAAAAGACCTTGGAGGCCTGATCTGGATCTCGCGAGAGCCCCGGTGCCGGCCTCGGCCAATCGGCTCCGGCGGCGGCGGCTCCTTTATAAGGAGATGCCGCGGCTGCGCCGCAGGTTGCGGAGGCGAAGTCCGGGCTGGGTGAGGGTCCTTTTGTCCCTAACCCTACTTTAGAAGGGCGTAGGCGCCGTGCTTTTGTTCCCTGCCTGCTGTTTTTTTCGCTGGCTTTCAGCAGGCGGAAAAGCCTCGGCCTACCGCCGTCCACCATGCGGTCTAAACCAAATTAAAAAATGTCAGCGGCTGGCCAGCTCACCCGCCCCGGGAACCTGTGGTGCACGCCTGCCCAGCCCCCGCGTCCTGCCTGGAGGCCGCGGTCGGCCTGGGACTTCCCCGGAGGTTTCCGATGCCGCCGCGAAGAGTTGGGCTCTGTCAGCCGCGGGTTTCTCGGGGGCAAGGGAAAGGCCCTGGCCGCAGGGAGAGAAACGGAGCGGGTCCCCGCGCGTGGTGCATTTCCTTGAGCTGTGGGACTTGCATCCGGGACTAAGCTCAAACATACGCAGCTTGCTGAGGGGTTGCGCGGGGAGTGGGTGGCGCAGTCGGCTTTCCCACTGGAAGGCAGGCTCCGATTGTGCGCGTCCGGTTTCCCTTCACCGTCAGTGGTGGATCTGTGGATCTCCAAAACAGGTTGGATCTGGATGCGTGCAAATTGCCGAAGGACACGTGATGGCACCTCTTAATTGACCCAGATGAATGGGCAGTGGGCTGAGCTGAGTAGCCCGCCACCGGTCCTATATGGGGCTTTTTTTCCCCCCTAATCCCTTTCGTCTGGTTTTGTTGTCCTTTATCATTCTGTCATAGCGTATAGTTCCTGTTCTGGGGGTTTTGAGGTTTTTGCCGCTCCCAAAGTAGGTCTTGACTTGTCCCCTCAATCGAGTGTGGAAAAGCAGTGATATTTTTGGTGAGGTAATTAAACATAGTATTCGTTAACTAGAAGACTTAGTATGTTTCTCAAAACAGTGAAAACTATGTTCCTTAATGGTCTTTGACTTTTCATCTTTGCCTTTCTTTGGACGCAAAGTATTAAGTGGTGTCTGACAAAATAAGTTTACAAGGAAATGCATACCCCTACTCCCAAAGAATGGGGTCTGGTTTCCTTTCTGAAAAGAAAAAACTGATGGCCCACTAGGTACAACCCATAGCCCATTCTGCCCACATCCCCCAAACATGACTTGAGGCTGAAGTGTGGATGCATCCCAAGTCAGGCCCCTCATGTCCTTGAGCTATTCTGGGGGCAGTTACTGAGAGTAGCCAGCGGCCTGCATTATAAAGGCAAATTATCAGGGCGAGCCTTGAATGGTTTCTTGGTAATGTTCTCAGTAAGAAGGAAAAGGAATTTCCCCAGTCAGCATGGTTTTGCGGAAAAGAACACAGGGTAAGTGAAGGAAGTTCTAGTTCTGATTTATAGATTCTTGAAGTAACTAGCTTCACTAAGCTTCATTTTACTCAGAAGGTGATCTTTCGAGATCTATTGAAGACTGCCTGGGTTCCCTGAACTACAAATAAATAGATGGCTTTTGTTCCTGCTCCATCTAGTGGTACTTTTGTTTCTCCACATTTGCAAAGTTTGTGGTGGTGTGGGGCCTGAGGCAGAGGATGGCCATCTGGGAGTACTTTTCTCATTTTTAAAAAGAAAATAGTGATTTAATAAACACAATTTAAAAATAAGCTCGCAGCTGTTGTCTAGTTCTTATATTTGAAATCCCTCTGTTTTGTAAACATTACAAAGGGAAATTCTTAGCATTACAAACATTTGATATATTTTTTCTGTTTTGGCAAAATTATTCTCTTAAGTTATATAATTTTGGAGTAAGGACGGGCCTTCAAGTTCACCTAGTGAGATAATTGACATGAAAACCTTTTGCATATAATAAAGAATTATGGCAAATGTGACTTATTACCTACCATAAGATTTAAGTCCCTCGGGCCGGCCAAGTGGCGCGATGGTTAAGAACTGGCTGGGGATGCCAGAGGGCCCCGGTTCGGATCCCACATATGAGGGCCAGTGACACTGCCCTCCACAGCTAAGATGCTGGGCCAGTGAAGCAACATCCTCCACAACTAGACTGANCTTTGTGACGCGGCGTCCAAGTCTCAGACCCGGCGCATCATTGGAACCTTGAAAGGTTTCCCAGGGGCTGCGCCGCGCACTTTCCGCCCTCCTGGCTCGGCCTGCAGCGAGAGCAGCGGGAGCGGCCGGGGTACCAGGGGCAACGGCGGCGGTATGAGCTACTACCAGCTACCGGTGGTGATCGACAACGGCTCCGGAGTGATCAAGGCGGGCCTGGCTGGGTCCCGGGAGCCCCAGTTTGTCTACCCAAACATTATCGGCCGCGCTAAAGGCCGGGGCTGTGCTGCTGAGGGCGCAGGGGAGCTGTGCGTGGGCGACCAAGCGCAGGCCCGCAGAAGCTCTCTGTCCATCAGGTACCGCCTTCTGCCGGCAGGCAGGACCCGCGTGGAGGGGAAGGAGGGAAAGCCCAGATGGGGGATGCAAGGGTTAGAGAAATGGTAAGGAAGTCAGGAAAGTTTCTACCAGCCGGCGTTATTGCAAACGCGTGAGCCACAAATCTCTGAGGGTGCCAAACATCTAATGAATGAATATTACTTGCTCTTTGTCTATACAAGTGTATTCAAACGTGTAAAGTTATCCTTCTGAAAACACACGTTCATTTAAGAATGTTAATTTATGGTACCTTTGTCATTTGGTTTTTTTTCTCTAATTAGCTGATATTAAAACTATACTATTATGTGAAGATTCCACCCCACCCCATCCCAATTTTTTTAAAGTCACAAAAGGGTCTTCCAAGCGGCTGGGAGGTGGAAAGCAACAAAAATTGCAGAGGAAGGTAGCTGTGCTAACTTTTGTTGGCAGTTACCTTCTCTGAGAGGCTCTGGCAGTCACTGCCCATAAAGGGATACTGGTAATAAATGTGGGGATTAACCCAGGTTTGAAGGATAGAAACTGGAAAAAATAAAGCTGTCATTTATGTTATTGCTCTTGCTACAGCTACCCAGTGGAGCGTGGTCTGGTTACTTCCTGGGGAGACATGGAAATCATGTGGAAACACATCTATGACCATAACCTGAAGCTAAAGCCCTGTGACGGCCCAGTATTGATTACGGAGCCAGCACTGAACCCACTGGCCAACCGACAACAGATCACGGAAGTGTTTTTGGAGCATCTGGAGGTTCCTGCCTTCTATATGTCCACCCAGGAGGTGCTGGCTCTCTTCGCTGCTGGCTTCACAACTGGCTTTGTGATGAATGCAGGTGCTGGAGTTACCCAGTGTGTGCCCATCTTTGAAGGTTACTGTCTGCCTCATGGTGTCCAGCAGCTAAATCTGGCAGGCCTTGACCTCACCAACTACCTCATGATGCTGTTGAAGGACCGTGGCATCATGCTACTTAGTGCTGCAGACAGAAAGATTGTGGTGGACATTAAGGAAACATCTTGTTATGTGGCAATGAACTATGAAGAGGAAATGGCCAAGAAACCTGCTAGTCTAGAGAAAGTTTACCAGCTCCCTGATGGGAAGATGCTCAAGCTCCATGACCAGCTCTTTCAATGTCCAGAGGCCCTCTTCTCTCCATCTCTCATGAACCTTGCGACTCCTGGCATTGATAAGCTGTGCTTCAGCAGCATAATGAAATGCGATACAGATCTGAGGAATTCCTTTTTCTCCAATATTATCCTCGCTGGGGGATCAACCTTGTTCTCTGGTTTAGAAAAGCGGCTAGTTAAAGATATAACAAAGGTGGTGCCTGCCAATACCCCTGTGCAAGTTATAGCTCCCCCAGAAAGGAAAATATCGGTGTGGATGGGAGGCTCTATTCTTGCATCCCTGTCTGCCTTCCAGGACATGTGGATTACTGCTGCAGAATTTAAAGAAGTTGGACCCAACATAATACACCAAAGATGCTTCTGAATACAGATAAAATGGTTAGAAGAAAATGCTTTGAATATGTGAGATGGAAAACTTCAGATATTATGTTTCTGGGAGAACAGAAAATATTTCAATTAGTGGAACGTCCATGTCTCTGTTGCATTTCTGTAATGGGAAATAATGGTGAAGGAGTCAAACGTTTATTGAGTAGGACCAAATTTAATGCTAGAGGAAGCATTATGTTTGACTTTGTAGATCTTACATTTTCCTTGGAGTGAGAGCACATGAGTGATATAGATTTAAGTTTGATGACATTTAAGGAAAGAAGGTTGCTATGAGGAAAGATTTCTTAGCAGAGGTATGCCATCATGGATGGGGTAGCATTAGGATGGGGAGAGGGAGAGGGGAAGAGGGCAGATACCCAGAAAAGCATAATGGAAATGATCAAGGAGCTAAAGAGATGAAAATGAACAAAGCATAGTCAAGGCATGTTCAATAAAATGGTTTTGTTAAAAGGAAGAGCTCATATGGAGTAGACTAAGAACAATAAGTATGGAGGTAAATTAAGGCCAGGCAATGGAAGGCTTTGTGTTCAATGCCCTATAGGCAAAGGAGAACAATGAAAGATTTAAAAGCGGGAGATATAAGGAAATTAAGATGAATGTGACAACAGTTTGGAGGATAAATTGCACTGGGAAGGCCCTGAAGATTTGGTGATCAGTTAAAAAGTTATTAGCCTAGACATAAAGTAGCCAAGTCTTGTACCCAAGATTATAGGCAATAGGAATTCAAAAGAAATTACAAGTCTTGGTGCCTAATTAGATAGGTATGAAGGGGAAAGAAGGGTCTGAAATGACCTGTGTGGCTGAAAGAATGATGGCAGGATTGACATAACTCAAAATATTTTGTATCTGCTCTATGCAAACTCGGTGTGAAGTGCAATGAGTGCTAAGTCAATTGTCAGATCCTGTCCCAAGGAAAGCCAGCAGTCTAGTACAAGAGGTGAAATTCATACCTTAATTACAATAATACAAGGTAGAAAATGAGTGTGTCCTAAGAGATGTATGACATGTCCTAAGAGATGTATGGGGGTTCCTAGGAGGAAGAATACCTTGAGGTCTCAAGGAAGACTTTTTGGTACATTTGACTTTGGGGCTGGGCTTAAAGGACAGCTGGGATTTAAACCTAATGGAGTGCCCTTCCTTCTGAATTTAGGGGCAGCATATCTGAGTTTAGATCCAGGCCCTGCCACCTACCAGCTGCACGACTTAAGAAAATTGTTTCAACATCTTGGAAATCAAGTTCCTCATCCATAAAGAGGGGTTGCAAATCCCTACCTATCTCACAGGGTCATTGTGAGGTTCAAATGAGATAATATCCCTAAAGGCTCTCTTGCTTATAGGAGAATTTATAGATCCAGCTCAGATGCTACTTCCTCCAGGGAGTCTAAATTGATTGTGTCCTCCAGCACATATTCCTTGTACTTCTATTGACCATTTAATTTATGCAGCCTTATCGTTTGGTTTGCTTGTGTTTCTTCCTCCCCAGATATGTTCTTAGAAGACAGGGATTGAGGCTTTCCGTTTTCATCTCTGTCCCCTTCCTTGATGCCTTCTATGGTGTACTCCCAGTAGGTATGTAGATGTAGAGACTTTACCAGAAGCATATTCCTGGCAGAGGGACTATTAGGGCAAAGGCTCCAAGGTGTAAAAAGGATGGGCATGTACAAGTAGCAGTAAGTAACTCAGTTTGGCCTGAGTCAAGCATTTGTGAAGAGGTGCATTTCATTCCTTGGCATGTGTCTCCCATTTTAGTGATTGTAAGCAAGACTAGATTGGATAAGGTGTAGAAAATGAGGGCAGTTTGAATTGATGCTGCACTCAATAGGTTCATAAACACTGTAGAGAGATTGATCCCAACCCCTCCCTTTGGAATTTTTGAAGTGTTACGGAACTCAGGGGGTTCATCACTTGGGGTGTTCCATTCAAGAGGGAGACATAGTTGTTATGAGGTAGTTTTATTAACTTGCAGCAAGTAAAGAAGACAACTGATTCACATACAAAGCTCTGTCATTCGGAAGGGAAGTTTAGCGTTGCTTACATGCACTATTTGGTTAATTACATATTGATTTCTTCTTTGCAGTTTCGCTACTCTTAGCCTGTTGGGTTTCTGTGAAGCTCATCCTATTTATAGCTGCCTCTGCAAAATACTGTGTTACATTTTAACATTTAGCAAAAATAGCATTTAATAGGAACCACCCAGACCTTGAGACCCTTGTCCTAACAAAAGTGCTTTCTTTTCCTAAAAGAAAATAGATTTAACCACACATTCATTTAGTTTAAACTTCATCCCACAAAGATGGACAAGTGTTAGTCCCATTTTACAAATTAAGAAATTGAGATGTAGGGCCAGTCGAGTGGCTCAGTTGGTTAAAAGCTGGCTTAAGAACGTGGGCTCTGAGCAATGGGGCCACTGGTTCGATTCCCACATGGGCAAGTAACACAAGCTGAGCTGTCGCTGAGCTGCCAACAGGTGGCAGGATGGCTCAGTTGGTGTAATAAGATTGCCTGTTCAATGGTGGGCCATGCCCACCTGCAACTGTGACTGAACTTGGCACCTTGAGCTGAGCTGCCGCCTGGATGGCTCAGTGGATAGAATGTGCACTCTTAACAACAAGGCTGCTGGTTCGACTCCCACATGGAATGGTGGCTACGCTCACCCACAACTAAGACTGAACTGGGCACCTTGAGTTTAGAGGCCACAAGCTGCAGACGCGAAGCCGGAGACTGGTGCCCTCCACAACGAAGATTGAAGAACAACAACTTGGCTGGTCCCCTTCCCCAATTCCCTAAAAAAATCTTAAAAAAAAAAATAAATTGAGATGTAAACAGTTTAAGAGATTTAAGTTTAAAGTAATTCCCAATCTAGATGCCCTAATCTAGTTTGCTAGATTAGGAGGGCACACACTCCTTGAGGTAGTTAACCCAACAACCAGCCAGGAACATTCTACACAGACTCCAGCCTCTAATATCTAGTCATAAATGATCCTTTTCAGGTAATCTAGGGATAGGGAATAAAGTGAAAATTCCGTTCATATTTTCCCTGCCATTACTATTGCCTGAAACAACCTCCCCCCTTCACCCCCAGCCCCACCCCCCCTAACATTTTACTTTTCTCTTAGATTGAGGTGCCAATAGCCACTCCACGGAGTTCATCCAACTGATTAAGATCAGCCAGTTATATGTAAAACGTCATTATACCGGCCATTATGAAAAACAAAACAAAAAAAATCCCCACTATTTATGCTCGATTGTTCCTTTTTAAAAAAAAACTAATCTCGACACATTAAAGCGAAGTCGACTGTGAGCCTTTATTTCCTACTCAAAGGTAAATTCAGTTCTTCAGGTTAAGATGAAGAACAGCAGCGTTACACTGAATAAAACCCACCCTCTTCTCAATGAGAAAATAAAGAGAATGCGTTGTAAGGCGAAGGGAACCGGGCAGGACGCCAGCGTCTGCCCAACAGCCGAGTCAAGATTCTGATTTAGTCAGTGCTGCCGTGGAATCTAGTTTTGTCAAATTCTCTAACAAATGTGACGATCCGAGTGGAGAATCACTGTTGTGTGTCCTGGTCGGAAAATTTTTCTGCGAACTCCATTTTTTTTAACGTAGTTGAGTGCACCGCGCCTAGTCCATAGTGGATGGAAAAGGGAACTCGGCAGCACAAATCCAGTTTTCGCCTTCCTTTCAAGTACTTCGGCAGACCCCAAGGCTTCCTCTAAGGGATGTGGGG